TCTCCCTCTCCCTCTGCCCCTCCCCCTGCTCACGTTCTCCCTCCCTCTCTCTCTGATAAATAAATACATAAAATCTGTTCAAAATAAAATAAAATATAGCTGTCTATATATCCACCCATTCACCTCCCTGATCAGATCCTGATATCTCACCCATTCAACAGTAAACAGAATAGCTAAGATGAGCAGCCTTGGCATTTATTGACACCTACTAGGTGCCAGTCACTGAGCTAACCTTGTGGCCACCCTCCAAAGTAGGGTCCTAAGATTTCCATGTGACAGGTGACAGGATGTGGCGGGTGGGTGCTCAGAGAGGTGAATTCACATGTCCAAGGTCACACAGCAAGTCAGGGCAGAACAGCCCAGAATCAGGCCCCCAGCAGGGTCCCTCTGCTCTTCCTCAGGCTTGCCACAAAGCATTAATAAAGCATTCACCATGTACCATGTGACAAGCCAAGTGCCCATGTTGCACACAGGACGTGTTCAATGCATGCTTCTTGAGGAGGAGGTACTACATAAGGACTATTTTTACAGATGGAGGAACTGAGACCAGGGGGTAATGCTCCACAGGCCAGCAAGGGGCAGAGCTGAGGTCCACAGCTAGACACGCTGGCTGTGGCCACCCAGCCCCCAACCACCCAACCTACACAGCCACCAAGGCCCCCTCTACCAGCTGACAGCAATTGGCAACAATGCATCTGAGTGCCTACTGGGTCCCCAGCTCCTCTCTAAGAGCTTCCTGTGAGTAAACCTGACAGAGCACCCCAAGGACCCCAGGAGCTGATGCTACTTTTATAGCCATGGGAAAAGGACCACCAGCAAGGCTGGGAGCCACAGGAAGTAGCCCCCGCAAGGAGGTCCCCCATCCGTAGGTGACACTCCAGGAAACAGTCACTGAGGCTGGAGCTAATCATGATCAGGTTACACGAACATTCATGATGGGGCCCAGCCCTCACCGCCTGTCCCGTCCTGCCCTCACCCCCATTTTCTCTGGAGTACATCCCCGTGGGCAGGCAGTGGATTCCAGTGCTCAGCTCCAACCACATGCCTGGGCTGCCCCACCTGGCGGCAGCCCAAGCCACCCCCACCCGGAGACAAAGAAGCCACTGTCCGCCTCTGGGCCCTTCCTGAGACCTTTTCTCACTCTCTGTTCCTTCTGCCCCCTCATGTTTTCACCCCGAACCCCAGAGCACCGGGGCAGAAAGAAAGCCAACATGGATAAACGGGATCAGATTTCGTGCCACAAATACAGGATACAGGGTGAAGTGGGGCCAGGTGCTTAAATATCTTCTGATCCCCGGGTCTAAATGCAGCCCCACCACCACCTCCAGCACCACACAGTAGCTAAGAACGTGGACTCCAGTGCCCTAAACCCTCCTTGGCTGTGCATTCCTAGGTAACTGACCTCATCTCTCTGTGCCTTGCTTCACCAGCCTGTAAAGTGAGGTTAGTAGGCATTCCTTCTTTACAGGACTGTGAGACCATTACAAAGCCTGGCCCCTAGAGAGGGCTATACAAGCTGTGTCAGTTAGCTATCACTGTGTAACAAATTCCCTCCAAAATTACCAGCTGGAAACATTTATTATCTCACAGTTTCTGAGGGTCAGGAAGCCAGGAGTAGCTTAGCTGGGTGGTTCTGGCTCAGGGTGTCTTGTGAGACTGCAATCAATGTGTTGGCTGGGGCTGGGGTCATCTCAAGGTTTCACTGGGACAGAATCCACTTCCAAGTTCACTCACGTGGGCTGCCTCCCATCACAGCAGCCAGCTTTTCCCGGAGGGAGTGATCCGAGATGGTACCCAAGATGGAAACCACAGTCTTTTGTATTACTAATCTTGGATATAATATCCTATTACTTTTGCTGTATTCTGTTCATTGGAAGCAAGTTGCTAGATCCAGCCCACACTTGAAGCAGGGGGGATCATATGAGAATGTGAAGACCAGGCGGTTGGGCCATCTTTGAGGCTGCCTCCTACAGAAACGTGTGTGAAGCCCTGTGTCAGGGAGCTGGAGTCGTCCCAGCTCCCGCCCCATCCCCGGGGTAGGCAGCCAGGCACAGATACTCCGGCTCAGTGAGGCAGAGCTGGGGCCTGGACAAGCCCAAGGAAGCCAGGGAAGGCTTCCTGCCATGTGCCACCCTATGTGGAGGCCAGGTCCACAGTGGCATGAAGACCCCACACAGCTTCTATTGTGCCCCCACAGGGCCCACAGCCTGGTTGGGGGAAAGAAACTCAAGAATTAAAAGGCGAGAGAGCAGACACATAAGAGAATTACAAATGATGGGGCACCTGGGTGGCTCAGTCGGTGAAGCATCTGCCTTCGGCTCAGGTTATGATCTCGGAGTCCTGGGATCGAGCCCCGCATCGGGCTCCCTGCTCAGCGGGGAGTCTGCTTCTCCCTCTGCCTCTCCCCCCACTCGTGCTCTCTCTCTCTCCCTCTCAAATAAATAAATAAAATCTTTTAAAAAAAATCATTTTAAATAACAAATGCTGCTAGTGGCAACCAGTCAAGATTTGGAGCCACACCACCTCGGTTCAAATCCTGTCCCCACTACTTGCCTCCTATGTGACTTTGGGCAAGTGACCAAACTACGCTGTGCCTCAGTTTGCTCATCTGTTAGATGGGGACAAGAGAGCAGCCACATCACAGGGTTGCTGGGAGGGCTTAAAGAAGTCATGTTTAGCATGCCTGGCATGGAGGGAGCACTCTGTAAATGTTGGCCATTCTGCCAAAGAGCAGCAAGGTGGGAGGGCATACAGGGACGCAGTGTCAGGAGAGGGCTCTCTGGGGTGACACTCAAGCCACGGCACGATGAAAAGGAAGAGCAAGAGTGATCCAGGCAAAAGAAGAGAAAGAGCGATCCAGGCAGAGGGAGCAGCAAGTACAAAGGCCCCAGGGTTGAGCATGTTGAGGAACAGCAAGAAGGCCAGTGTAGCTGGAAGAGTGACAAAACAAAGAAGGGGGGAAGAGGCCTGGGTGGGTCAGTCGGCTAAGTGTCTGCCTTTGGCTCAGGTCATGATCCCAGGGTCCTGGGATCAAGCCCTACATTGGGGCTCCCTGCTCAGTTGAGGAGCCTGCTTCTCCCTCTCCCTCTGCCGCTCCCCCTGCTTGTGCTCTCTCACACTCTCTCTCTGTCAAATAAATAAATAAAACCTTTAAAAAAATTTTTTTAAAGGTTTTATTTATTTATTTGAGACAGAGAGAATGAGAGACAGAGAGCATGAGAGGGAGGAGGGTCAGAGGGAGAAGCAGACTCCCCGCCGAGCAGGGAGCCCGATGCGGGACTCCATCCCGGGACTCCAGGATCATGACCTGAGCCGAAGGCAGTCGCTTAACCAACTGAGCCACCCAGGCGCCCCTAAAAAAAATTTTTTTAAGAAAAGAAAGGAGAAGAGGTTGGGGACATGGTCAGAAACCTCGCATGGTCTAGATTCTAACGGCAACAAGGAACCATGGGAGAGTGAGTGTTGAGTAGGAAAATTCAGCAAAGGGTCCCCTGAAGGAGGCAACATCATAAGGCATCACCAGGCAAAAGGGTTCAGTGCGTTCCAGGCAGAGGGAACATCCTGAGCCTGACAAGGCAAGTTGATGTGAGGGTCAGTTGAACCTATGGAGGTGGGGAGTGGCTAGTGGGCAAATCCTGGCATAGGTCACAGAACCTAGTGTCCAGCTGGAGGTTGAATCTTTCTCCTGCAGAGGATGGGGGTTGTGGAGGGTGTGTGAACAGACGGCATGGTCAAATCTGCATGTCAGAAAGACCAGAGGCAGGGGCCAGGGCATGGAGAGAAAAGGACGAATCTAGAAGGTTCAGAACCAATTGGCAGTGGACCTTTCCCCAGCTCCACACCATCCTGCCGCTCACAGAGCCTGTTAGTTCCCCCACCTCCCCTGAGAGGATCAGCTTGGCCGATCCACAGCAGGTGCTCAGGCATTCCTATGTGGGGGCTGTTACTAAGATTTGCTCTGATGGGAATCCCCAGCAACCCCTATTTCACCCCAGGAGGACCCCCAACAGCTTCTTCAAGCAAGCCCCTCGGAGACACCCCAGAGACCTTCTTCCAAGGATACCTGTATATATACGACACCAAAATCCCCTCGTGAGAGATCACGGTCTCTAGAGATCCCCAAACAAGTCTTGGAATACACAAAAACCTCTCCACAGACCCTGAACCCCTCAAATCCTGCACAGATCCCAAACTCTCAAAGAGCGCCCCGGGCCACAGAGAAACCGGTAAATGGCCCCCAGGAGATACACACCCTTCAGGAACCCTAAAAGTCTCTTACAGATGCCTCAAGAAGCCCCTTCATCCCTCACCCCCCCCCGAGAAAGCCCTAAAAAACCCCAAAGTGTCTTTGCAGCCCCCAAAGACCACTGGGTCGCCACTGTGGGCCCTTAGGGACCTACCAGAATCCCTGAAGAGCCTCTAGAGGCCTCTAACCGTCACCAAGTCCCCACAAAGACCCCAAATACCCACGGCCTCCCAATCAGCCCCAGCTCTCTGGAACCCCTACCAGCTGCCCAAAGATCCCCAAGTTACCTTCCAGCCCCCTGAGGTCTCCCAAACAGCCTCTAGAATCTTGAAACTTACTCATCTCCCTCCAGAGACCCTCAAGTTATCCCCTGCAGTTCCCCTCAAGAGACCCCCCCAACCCGTCACTCTTTCAGGCCCCGGCCCCGCCTCTAGCCCCGCCCTCATCTAAGCATCGCCTCCAGTCTCCAAAGGCCCTCTGCCCAAGCCCTCAGGGCCCCCGACTCCGCCCCTGCAACACCCTCCCTCTGATCACCCGCAAGATGCGCAGCCGGCTGGGGCCCAGGCCCCAACTGCACTCACAAGAGGTCCCGCCTTGCGGTCTTGCAGACGATGCGCAGGAAACGCCAGCCGCCGCCGCCCACGTACACGCCGAGCGCCGCCGCTGCGCTCCAGGTCCACGGCAGCCCCAGCAGCCACAACAGCACGAGCGAGACCACCGAGGCCGAGCCTGCCCCGGGAGCCTGCATCCTGGGGAGGCGGAGAGCGCTGAGGCCGCGGACCGCTGGGGCCCCGCCCCCGGCCAGCCGGGCTCCGCCCCCAGGCCCCGGTTCCGCCTCCTCGGAGAGCCCAGGCCACCCCCTTCGAGCCAGGCCCCGCCCTCATGCCTGAATTGGCCCGGTCCCGGACAGACTCCGCCCCCGGATCAGGGCTCCGCCCCGTCCCACGCGGGACACAGGCCTCCCTTTGTGTTCCTAGCCCGGCTCAGGCTTCTTTGCCAATTATTAGTACAGGCCACGCCCTCAGACGCAGCTCTAGGACTCCGCCAGTCACTGTCAAGCCCTACCGCATGTTTGACCTAGCGGCTGGACTCTGAACCCAAGCTCCACTCTCACGACTTGGCCCCAAGCATGGGCTCCACCTCGTCCCTACCACAGACAGAGGCCCTTCCCAGTCACTTGACCAGCTTTCCCCCATTGCCTTGACCTAACGCTGTCCTCGGTTACAGGATCCACCCCAGTACCCACAGGTCCTGGGCTTTCCTCCAAGTCCTGCTTCTAGCCCTACTCCGCCACTCACTGGGCCCCGCCCCCAGCCTGCCCGCTGGTCCCGCCCACAAACGCACGCCCCTCCCCCTAGTCCCGGGCCTGGCCCGCCCCCAATCCCAGGCCCACGTTCCACCCCTGGCCACTAGCCCCGCCCTCAGGCTTTGGCCCAATCGTCGTCCTCCGGACCTCCCTCTGGCCCACCTAGAGCCTAGGCCCCTCCCCATCTGCCAGCCCAGGCCCGCCCCAAGGCCCTCTTCCAACCTGTCTAGCTCCGAGCTCCTCAGCCTCTTAGCCAAGGCCCGCCCCTTTCCGGAGGCCATGACCATAGAGAGGGGCCCCAGGCCAGAGAGACAACGGCCAACGAGACCCGGGGGCTAGAACGGCCCAGAGAGGGCGTCCGCTGTCTTGGAGACACCCAAACCGCTCCCCCCACCCGCCTCCGCGCGGAGTTTAGAAAACACGTGCACCCGCAGCCTAGGGGCGTGGCTCCAGGCTGAGCTCTAGATGACAAACGGATTCCTACCGGGGGGGGGACCAGAAAGTCCTGGTTCACATCCAGGGCCTGTCTGCACTGGATTCTTGCCCCGGTTGTCCTAAATCTAGGCACGGACGCCTGTTGGGTCTTAAATACACATTCCAGGGATCTGGACAGTCTTAAACTCAGCCTAGGAGCCCCAAAAGGTTCTAAATCCAAACCCCACCTCAGTCTTAATGATACATTTCAAGGACCCAACTTATCCCAAATCCATATCGCAAAATCTTGTCAAATTCTCAGCGTAACACCCCAGGAGCCCAAGGAGGGCAAAATCCACACACCAGGTTCCCACCCGCCCACACCCAAAGTCCTAAATGCCCACCCAGAGACCCAAAAGCCCACCTCCTGATCAGGCACGGGCCAGCGCTGGCCTGGCTGCCCACCACCCTGGTCCCTGGCTGACCTGGAGCGGCTCACAGACCCTCAGTCTTGGCTGCTTCCTCGTAGGTTCCCAGAAGCTCAGGCAGGGACGATGAGGCCAAGACAGAGGACTCCAAACCTAGCTTGAGAAGGTGGGCCCTCCAGAACCTCTATTTCTGCAGACTCCTGGGCCCTGCTCTGCCTGTGTCCTGCGCATGCAGGCCACTGCCTTGGATCCCTCCCTCCAAGCTCCGCCTCCTTTGCCCCCCTGCCCACCCCACCCCAGCTTGTTTTCTGCCTTGCTTTGGCCGACCTTCTCAGCTCTCTCCTTGGGAGGTAGCCAGGGCCTGCTTCCAGCACCATTTGGAGGACAGGGTTGGGCAGGCTCCCACCCCTCCCACATGCTACCACTGGTCCCTGTAGTTGCCCAGGGTTGGTGGAATGGGGGGCAAGGAGGCAGATCTGGAGGACAGGCCCAGAGCCAGCCACCAGTTGGGGCCAGAGATCAGCAGAGTCAGTAATGACCGGTAACTACAGCTGCACTCTTATCCTGTCAGGTAGCACTGTTGTGCTCACCCCATTTTACAGGTCAAGAAACTGAGGACTGGAGCTGTCACATTAGTTGGAGTTGAGATTCACTCATTCACAAATGTGGGCTTGAGGCTTGCTCTCCCACCTCCCCCCACCTCCTCCCCTTTCCTTCTTCCCTGAACTTCTCCTCTGCCTCCTCTCTCTGACCCTGATACCTCCATTCTTCCCCACTTCCTCCCCCTCCTCCTTCCGTTCTCTACCCCCCACTTCAGCTTTCTTCCTCCCCTCCCCCTTTCCTCCCCTTCCCCTTTCTTTGCTCCTCCACCTACTTCTTTCCCCTTCTCTCTGCTCTGTCCCTCCTCCTCTCTACCCCTCCTCTTACCCCCTCCCCTACCCTCCTGGCTTCCTTCTTCCTCCCTTCCTCTTCCTCCCCGCCCCCTTTCTTCCCTCTCCCCTTCTCCATCCTACCAAGTTTACTGAGACCTCACTAAATAGTGCCCGTGACAATCAAACTCTTCCAACTCTGCCCACAGCTCCTGGAGATACTCTTATGGGTCCTCAGTCCAAAATCCCCAAATCCAAAAGTCTCTGAAACCCAACTTTTTCTTAAGGTGGTGCCAGAACTCCAGGTGTAGGTGTAGGCAGATAGAGTGAGGGGTTCCCGAAAAAGAAAGATGAACCATAGCTTTCTTAATACAAGAGAAGTCATTTTAGGTTCCCAGCCACCTTGTGATCTACACCTGACTGGCCCTCATTGCCCAAGCACATTGTCAAGTCTAATTGCAGAACTTCCTAGGAAAATTAACAGCCACTACCAGGCCAGGGGAGAGCCTCACCATCTCAGAAACAATAAATCAGGGGTAAAACTCCCAGTGCTTTTTCAGAAGTAAACGTTGACCCGATACACAGTCTTGAGGCATTGCAGGATTTAAACCCCTTTGAGCTCTCAAAACACTGATGACTTTTGCCCCAGTTCTCTACTGATCTTTCCTTTGCCCAGCCCCTTCATGATTATGCATGCACTCTTAGCTTAAAACTTCCCCAATTTTGTCGTATGGAGGGAGAGGACACTGCTTTGGGAAATATCCTCGGTGGTCTCCCTACTTGTTGCAAATAAAACCCTTCCTTTTCCCACTTTTTGGCTTGGTTGTCTTCCGGCTGGACACCCACCAGGAGGAGAACCCAGTTTCCCGTGACAGAGGAACCACCTCCCCCTCCTCCTTCACCTCCCCCCTCCCGAGCTGACCCAGTCCACTTACCGTGGTCATTTATCCTTTTGTATCCCTGTTATCCCTTATTTATGCCTTTGCTTAATGGCTCTTCCTAGGCCCCCAGGGGCATCACACAATATACAACATCTTTTACCCTCGATTACTTTCTTAAGATACAAAAAACTCCCAATTCTTTTTTTTTTTT